ATATAAAATTATTTCAGAACTACTGTGATATATCACAAAGCCCTTTACGCAACTAATATGTGATATTAATATAATAAAAATGAATTTTTTAAAATTTAATACCTAGGCGTATTGGAATCAATCATTGACCTATTCTTTAGCTTGCAATTCATTTTTCGATGTCACAATTCCCTACAGTTCTTCGAATTCAACCATTCTTTATAGAATTCTCCAATTAGATTGATTTCTTTGTTGATGCCATACTGATAGGGTTTTTATTTAAAAGATAATTAATTTTATTACACGTTGGAATAAATTGATCAATCTATAATACTTTCGTCAATGTTCTTTAATTTCTACATCTAAACGAAATATTGTAATTTTGATTAAACATTTCAGCACCATTAACATTTGTATATTCTAATAACTTAATTAATTATTAATTAACAATTGCTATGAAAGTGTATATTGGAAATGCACAAGTGTCCAATTTGCGAATATATGGATTATTATCCTTAAGAGATACTGTATTCAGAAATAAACTGTGAAAATTTTAATAAGCACAACGAAATAATTCCACAAAGTAATATTAACACCGCTCGCAGCAAATAAACAAATCAAGTCAAATAAAATTCGGAAAGGAAAAATTAGGTAAAGCCACTAAATCTCAAAATCTGTGCTGAAATCTGAAAACTGGTGTGAAGAGTTGTGTGGGGAGGGCTTGGCACATGTGCCACACTTTTAAGTAGCAGCGTATACAACGCCACATTTGTTCGTACGTAGCGTTTGAAAAGAATGACGCGGAGTCCAAGCGCTTATTCCAACTCCGCTTTTAACTGTTAACTGCGAGGCTACAAATGCGATAAAATATGGACACCAACCACGGCGCAGACACATTGCACAGTGATTCAGTGTGAAAACACCCAAAATAGGTACAATACGTTTACTTCGTACTTATATGTATGTTTTCAAATATTTATAAACAGTTTTAAAACACTCTATATCCATTCTCTATGTGGGCATATTAAATGATCGAGAATATTCCTTATAAGTAATGATAATGCAAGTAAAGCCAATATACTTTACCCAAATATTTAAAAACAGGTCTATATTTTATTAGCAGAATCCTAGAACACTTGTATAATGATGGAGTTTCAACTCTACTAAGTAAAGCATTAACACATCTCAAAGATTAAGTTCATTATTATGCTAAAGAATTTATAATGATTAAAATTATGTCTATTAGAAAATCGCACTATTTTCGCACTATGGATCTGGTAATAAAACCCATTCTTACTCAACAAATTGTTCAAGCATATCAAGTATTGGATTTAAGTTTCGTTTATAATTCTTGAAGAAATCATTAACTGGTTACTGCTATTATTTTCCTGAGAATGGACTACTACATTTTTTAGAAATGAAATACGTATCTCGCCATATTACAGTAATACTTATAGTACATATATAATGTCACCAATATTTCTAATGAAAACTATTGACAGTAACTATAGAAATTCTGCATAAATTCCAAAAATAATAATTTAATTCAATAAATGCAATAAATCATATAAAATGGGGGATCTATTTTTGACATTTCCCATACTTAAAGAATATTTTTTCATTTTTTGAGGTTTTGTTTCTCTCTCCACTTCCTCTAAGCTAACATGCTCTACTGTAATGAAAAGTTTCCAGTTAATTGACGGAGTACATACGGGTCTGAAGTATGATATTCGCCCGGGAAATAATTCTTAATCATCTCTTAAACTATAAGTTTAGTTACATCGACAAATTAGGCTCAGTGTATATATTAATTAATTGATATAAATAGAAAGTGTAAAGTGAAAATTCCGGTCAGTCATGTACTAGCACATTATTATTAACAGGGTATAAGGTTACTTCACAATGTATTATTCCTGAGCTCCAACACAATCATTACAACAAATTTCTAACACTTATATGTCTTCTTTTAGAATTATATTTGTCATGTGTTTAATATATGGTATAGTATGTACTAATTATATAATCGAAAAAGATCATTGTAAAGTAACAAATTAAAACACTTTAGTCTATTCCAATTTGCGAAAACAGCTGATACTTCCTTTGTTGGGATGAGGAACTATTTTACTGACATTGGTCTTCAGTATTATATCAACTTTCTGTGAATTTTTCCGAGAGCAGGGCTTGAAATAAGATATGATAAAATTTATGCTGTAAGAATTAACTGTTCCATCCTTTGAAGATGTAAAGCTATATTCTTTTAAGTGAGTATATATTCAATTATAATATATAATCAATGATAAAAACAGATTTCCTTGCAACTTTTGTGTAAATACGGATGTATAGTAACATTTCCTAAAGGCAATAAGTCAATGATTTGAGTGTAAGGTTTCATTCAGCCATCTAAGACATGACTTTAAATTTTGTCTGCTTCCTTTTTACTTTGATTTGATTTCTTGGTACTGTAGTCGTAGCACACTTACCAGTACCAACCTGTCAATTTGAGACGGCGCTTGAATTTTACTACGCCAAGCCAACAGTTTTGAACTCGTAAATTTATTTATTTTCGGACAACGGCGTTAAAATATGAGGAAAAAATGTATGAAAAAAATAAAATAAATTTAAAAATAAATAAAAATGAAGAAAATAACAGTTGCTGTATATGAGTGGTCAAATATACTGCAAGATACATTAATACCAAGTAAAATAAATAAAATTGACTACGTCAGAAAACTTGGCATTCATAATGCATGAGTCTGTGACGTGTCTACAGCAGCAAAGCCAACAAACGCCGCAAATGTTAGCACAATTTTAATAGCTTTAAATGCAGCAATTCACCCGCTATAATTTAAGAGTGGATTAAGGTACAGTGGCGTAGAATATGTGCGACATATACCAAATAATAATATTAATATATAATATCATTTAAGGAAGAGAACAAAATGCAAAATGTATTAAATGAAAATTTCGTGCAATAGTTTATCCTTTTCTTCTTCCTCTTCAAATCTTATTATATGATATGAATCTTCCAATAAAACAAGAAAACATATTAGATATAAGATTGAAAGATAATTGAATAGTGGATAAATCCATATTGAGTTTTTTGTAAACAAATATTTTTATCAGGCACGTTCTTCCTTGATTACTTGTAGGACGTACCTTAAAAAACCCCGTCTTTCTTCCACTTCCCTTATTTCTCGTGTCGGATTTCTCCAGGAGGTTTACAACCCATACTTGTTTTATATATCCGTTTTGTGTACCAATTCTGGTACACAACTCATGCAGTTGAGTAAATTCAATATAATGGTTATCAACTCTTTACTCTAGTCTTAAGATTACAATCCCCACATTACTCACTAATGTCACCAGTAACGTCCTAAATTAATTTCTTTATTTTTTGAATTTTATTTATACAAGTATGTTCTTTTCATTCCATTCTTCCAGTAATAGTTTATTTTTGAGTATGCGAAGGTGGCCAGAAAGTTTTGCGCCCAATAAATAAAGGACTGGTGGCACATTTTTTTTAATAAGGAGGATGGTCAATCACTTGACTTGCATGAATTCCAGCCATAGCGCTTGTCATCGGTGCAATATATATATGACAAAACACCGCTCCAACTACAACTCCCATGATGTGTGACATTTATAGAGACATGCTTGCGAATATATCAGCCAACATCATTAATTCATTTGAACCATTTAAATCATTACAAATATTAATTTCAAGTGATTTGAGTTATATACTATTTACATCGAATTTAATATCTTGTTTTATTAAAACTGTTTTTTTTTCTAATTATTTTATTTTTTTTTTAAACGGATTATTGCAGCCGAAATCATTGAACCAATTCGGTTAATGCCTTCACTGCATTTCTTGATTAAAGTTTAAATTGCTTATTTTTATTTACATAGAGTGATTTAATAAAATAAATAAAAAAACAAGATTTAATATTATTTATGAGACTAATTTTGCTATATCACGTAGTATCGAAATATCGGTTGAAATAAAGCAATAACACAGACGCATAACTCTGCTCTCATGTGCGATTTCAGTGATACAAAAATAATTCGTGAAAACACGTAAGCCCGTAAGTTAAGCGATATTAACAAATTGATAAGAATAGTACTAAACTGCACTGTTGTGAAAACCATTAATTTATTTATTTATAATTTCAATACCCTACACCCACTTACACCCACGTGCGAAATTGGCACAAACAGATTATTCAAAATTTGTGTAGTGTATTGCATTAGAAGTAATTCTTTTCAGGCCTTTTTTCTAGGAAAATGGATGAAAATGGTATAGACCTTTTTAACTATATAGAAGTATACAAAGTCATAGATTAGTCTCAAAGAAAATATTGAAGTCAGAAAGATTGATTCATGAATGAAATATTTTTAATAATTTTTTCCTAATTAATAAACAAAAAGGTAAAGAAAAATTTTAAAAACGAATTTACAATAAAAAAATCTCTAATCGTATCTAACTTGAAATTATATATTTTGAGATAATTGGAGACTTTAGAAAGGAATGTGTCTCAAATTATATAGACTAAAGATATGGTCATGATAGAGTTCATGAATGCAAAGTCTAACTAACATCCGATCACATTCGTGAATAAGTCTAATATAGCAATTATTTTATCAAATATCATAAATTAGAAAACATATTATACATTTATTTCGCTTAAATATATTGCAAAGCTCTTACACAACACTTTGCTATGGAGTAAACAGTCTTGCAACTAGAAATAATACGTTGCTCAGGCTCATTTAGGAATCCTGATTTGATAACCTTTTCCACACACATTGGTATTAAAAATGTCATGATGAGACCTAGTAACGAGAACATTTTGTTTTTATAACACCATTTCGTTAATTTTGATATAATTTCAATGAATTCAGTGCGTTTTCCTTTGTACACAACGATATAATCCAAGTTAGCTAACTCAGTGTCTAAGATTCTTACGTAATGATCATTAAAAATATCGATATATATAAATTTTCCATTCACTGGAATATACCGAACTATTCCCACACATTGAAGACTAGATCCCAATAAAGAGTTCTTCCACCCATCGCCTATTGAAGGTATAAATCGGAAGACTTCATTTCTTAAAAGCAAAGTTTCTAGTCCCCATACATCATTATAAAGTATTTTGAAAAAGTAGTCCATGCTTACGTCCCAGTATGCAGCTGCTGGTGCGATATTATAGTCTTTAACCATTTTGTCATATATTTCACTATTTTTCTGAAGTATTTCAAAAATATGAGTGGGTTTATGCTTCTTTTTTCGTCGTCGCTCCGAAACTTCTTGAAGCGCTTCTATACGCACCTCACGAATAGTTGCTTTGTTATTAACAATCAAGAAATAATATAGAAAATTTATTACTTCATGGTTTAAGAGGTCACTCTTATTCTTCTTGATGTTCAACCATATCTCACTTAACGGTGGTATCTTGCCCAGCATATCCTTCAGTCCCTTTTTGGTGTATATTTTATAATGTACAAGCTCATTTATTAGATTTTCGTCGAAGTTCAGCTTACGTGCGTAGGTTATGAATATTGAAACTTTGAGATCCTGTCCTAATAGATTCTCATTCAACACATCTGCCAGTTCACGACATTTCTCAATATGACTCATATGACTTAATTCCGCAGGTGGAGAGTTAGACACTTCGAGGTTAACATTTTCTTCATTTTGCAACATATTCATGTAATTATCGTCTAATTATAAAATAAAATATATAACGCGTACATATAGTATACGTATTTAGATAAATATTTTAAAAATATGTTGGAGTTTTTTTTTTTTGTGTTTGGTTATATTTTAAACTTTATTCCAATAAAAAGTTATTAACAATGACAAATTTTAAAATTGAGTTTATAATACAAAACTTTAAAATATAACGCCTACTAAGTACATTTAAAATTAAAATAATTATTATGGAATAAAAATTTCAAATTATTTTAATTATTTCAATTATATATAAATATATTTATATTATATACTTACATATATATGTAATCAAATATATTTCTTTTATTTTTTTTATTGTTTAAGATGTGAACAAGGTCTGCATAGCTTGCCATTTTAAAGATAATGTCTTGCAAAACAATTTAAACTACTTGGGGACTTAGAATTGTAGCAATGGATTGAATAAGAGACCGGGAATAACTAGTTTGATTACTCACTTAACTACATATATTGTATATATATGCACTAAGAGATATACAATATTCTGAAATATTCCAGACGCACAATTTAACTGAAGTTAAAGATATTGTCCTGTGGAGTTAAAAAAGTTCATTAGTTATAATAATAGATTGGAAAATAAAAATAAAATTAAAATGAATTTTTGTGAGTCTTGTTGAATGCTCAAATCAACTCATATCATGAGTTAGATTTAATAGTAGTCACTTTCAAGAAAGTGGTTGAAATTACTTAAATTTTATATTATTTATGACTGCACCTCAAACTGCTTCAATCTTATTACATTAACTGTTGTCCATAAAAGTATATTTCCCCTTGTACGCTTCTGATTATTTCTCATAATGCAATCGTTTCGGTGTTCTGGTTGACTTATTGATCACAAACTCTCAAACATAATAATATTTGATATAATAATAATTTTTTCTCAAGGATTTCAAATACATTAATTTATATAAATATTGATATTTTTTGATAATAATTTTGTAATTTAATAATTCACTAATTTTAAGTGTTCGCTTGTAGGCCCATCCATCAGTGCTCTAGCACTTTCAATACAAAGCGTCCATTCAGGCGCGAAATAAAACATTTACCACCGATAGACAGTGTTGGATTACGATGAATTTTAATGAGGAAATGTGCGTAAAAATGTGATGAAATCTCAATGACTAATCGTTATGAGCAATTATTCGATTTTCATGATGGGCGGCGTCAATTAAATTTTTCAAAAGTCAAACAAACAACGCAAATAGGAAAACTCTAGCTACTGCGTGTGAAAAGTGTATAGGAAATAGAAAACTGGGCACAATTTTCACTTAACTTGATTCACTTATGAGCATAATTGCTTTCCCATGAAAGTTTGGCAAGTTCCGACGAGAAGCGAGTGTGACACTGAAAAAACTGTAACGCATCATCACGCACGGTGACAATGAGCAGCGGGTAAAGAGACCCCACCCTACGAATAGCGTTCACGCTGGCAATTTTTTTTCTAATACTTCTATTCTGTGACGTTTTCAATATTGTCACATAAAGTGTTTCCCACAATTGTCACAGCACAAAAGGCAAATCATCAAATCATTTGAAAATCATTTGCCATCGCGTGTTCACTTCACTTTACGCTGCCATCGCAGACTCAGAAGTACGGCGAACGTATGCAGATGCTACCCACGTCGCGAATCCGAAGCCGGGAACGTGTAACTGAGATTTTCGCTACCAGCAAAATTTTGAACTGAAATGAGAAATTTATTAAATTGTAGTAAATTAAATGCGTAGCTGCTGCTATTGATGCTGGAACTGCGTCGAGGCATATGTACAGCACTGCCATAGGGTTGAACTAACAAGTTGTTCTCCCGAAAAGTTCAATTGCTTCACGTTCCTCTTGTTTTTATGATGAACAATTTTGCCATTCATGCAATTATTTTGAAGATATTACAATGCATTAACTTGACATTCTCATGAAGTAATTGCTGCGACCATAGTCAAAAGTCGCAGGCTTGTCACCGCATTCTCCCCCATTTATTTGCAGTTCGGTACAATGTTTTACAAACATGTCATTTACACACACCAAGTCCAATATATTCAATGAATCGTTCTGCTTCCCTGCACACCCTCAGTGTAAGCTTGGTCTTTGTCAACGCGGTTGACGCAGTTAAGGACATTTGACATACGTTTTAAGCAATGCTGAACTATAATATGTGACACGTGACCCACACTTTGCACGGCACTCTCTCGCCACAACCAGCTAAGCCATACTTGGCATGGTTGCAAGTACAGTAGCACTTCCAGCATTTCTATACACGGCGTATGCCTAATGCATGTGCATGAGTAGTGTGTCATCCCTGACATCTTCACTCATTCACTCACTTCTGATAACAGAAGTTGCGTGTCCAAATGCTGCACCAGTACCAGCACCAGCACCGGCACCGGCACCAGCACCAGCGCTAGCACTGCAGGCTGTAGTGGCACTAGTCGTTGCCCATATCCTTCATATGATCGCTGCTTAATGTGCAGGTCCTCCACATGAGTTTGCCTTGCTTGAGTTGGTGTCTGTTAGCGCATTTTCCGGTTTGACTTGTTGTTATTTCACGCCACGCGTAAGCGTACGTTATCGGAAATTAAATCGTTTTGGATGACCGCGTGGTAGTGGGTGCAATTCGTAAGGGTTGCGGTAGAAGTACTCTAACTATAGTGCAGGGCGAAATACTGTCACAATGGTTACAATAATGGTACAAGTTAAAATTTAAATAGAGCTAATTAACTGCGCAGCAGTGTTAAAATTATTCTTAGTTGTGGAGAAGTATCATCTGCTTTATATTTTCATAAATTGAAATTAAAATTTAGAAAGAAATTGATTTCGTTATTTAACACTACTCCAAATTTTCGAATTATAATTGCATTTTGTCAATTAAAATAAAAGTAGTTAACTGAAACATTATTAAGACCGATTGAAACTATATAAATTAACAGTGATTGTCAGATAATAATTACATAAAAAGAAGTATAGACAGGAAAACTTTTAAGGATTTTATATAAAAATCCTTTACATATCTCGAACGACTGTAAGACGAACGAGCTTGCCAAGACAGGCACACTACTCCCTGACTTTCATATCTCAGACATTGGCATCCCACTTGCAACAGTTAAACTGGGAATCAATCAAAAATATCTGAGCATTGTCACGCAAAAATGGGCAGACGAATTCTGCTGTCGGATTTCTAGATTTCTAGATCTTAGTCTAATCAGAACAAAAACGCACCAATCAGCTGTTTCAACTAAGGCGTAACCTACTCAACACTATGGGATCTGTGCTGACGGGTCATTACATGGTAGGAAGACATGCTATGAAACTTGTTCTACCCTCTTATGACTTTTGTCGAGATTGTGGCTCAGCTAATAAGAATTAAACTGTGCTTCACCTTATGTGTTAGTCTCCAACTTTGACTAGGAAAAGATCTAAAATCTTTGGGGCTTCATTTTTTTACACACCTAACCGAGCTGTCATCCTGCAAAATTAGGAACTTAACTAAATTTATAGAATTGTCAAGCTGGTTAATTTTCATTAAATGTGGGAATTGCGCTTTCTGCGTTACTCGTACGCTGGCCTCTAGCTAACGTACCTTATATTAATATCTTCTAAAGATTAAAGATTAGTATCTTCTAAAGTGTTTTTGGAGACTTTGCAAGCAAGGTCAGTTCATCAGCGCACATTTGAACTTTTTTTAATTCGATTCCTATTTCTATACCATCTGCTGGTATAAAATTTATGCTCTCGAAATACAATACAAATTAAAGTGTATTATAACCTTGCTTCATACCTTTTCTAACGGCATACTAATAGTTGATAGCCATCCCAACCCATTGTTTCGTTCCGTTTGCATTAACTTTATGGGATTTTAATTATTTTGATTAAAAGACCAATGTTGTTAAGGTTCATTCTTCTCAAGACACTTTTATTTGTACTGTTTATCGAAGACTTAACAATAAATGGATTGAACAAATTTCCCATGAACTATCTGTCGTAGACCGGAGATGGAAGAAGACGGAAAACTATTTTTAAGGAAACCAAGTTTAAAAATAAATAGCTTACGCCGATGATGGTAATAATAAAATGCAACCTTTGTTTTTGTTTTACCAAAAAAGTGTTTAAAGTAATTCTTTGCAGGATCATTAATTTAATGGAACTTTCCACAAATGTCAGTGAACAGAAATTCATAATTAGCATTCAATTTAAAATAGACCAGAGCTAAAAGACTTGAGAAGAAATAGAGAAAAAGCTCAAAAATTAACATAAGGCACTGAAATTCTGTCAAACTATCAATCCATCGAAGATCGGGAAATCGCAACTATAAATCATGGCAAAGGCATAGTGATCGACACTTACCAACATATTTTTGCACAATTGAACATAATTAGAATGTTTGCATACTTGAATGAACTGTACGTGATGAGCCAAAAGTCGCCACATCGATAAAAAGACAAACGGACTTGCACTCGAAATATGCACTGCGGACAGACGGACAGCTGGAGTGCATTTTAATAGAGACAAGTGTCAGTAAATTACAAGCAAATAAGAAAAAATCGCCAAACATGCAACAAGTTATAAAATTTAATTTACCTGCCGATCATGTTGTTGTCGTTTGTGTTTTGCTGTTTGTTGTTGATATTCATTGGTTGTTGGTTGTTGGTTGTTGGCAGCAATTGCTTGTGATGTTGTTGATGTTGTTATAAAGTTGCGCGTGCTTATATTTATACTTATGCCTCCTCATGGTCGCATGCAATAAATTGCAAATTGCACTTTTTTGCAATGGACTTGAACTCTTGCAACTGATAGGGTCAGCATAACAATACGAACTGTACGACTAGAAGAGCGATATGAGGTGTGTGGTGTGTGGTGTCTGGTGTGTAGAGTGCGGTACACAGTAATTGTGCCAGAGAAATTATGGAACTATGGAACAGTGCAAAGAAAAATGCACAAATATGCAACACAATAAGGATGCACT